TGCTTTTTTTTTTTTTTTTTTTAACCAATACCTCCACATTTAAAGGACCTCTGTGTCTGTCCCAACAGCTGCACAGACTCACATGACACAGTCTCATTTTCTGACGGTAGAAGGTCTCTGCACAATACAAGTATACACAAAAGTGTTTATGCTGCCAAAATAAATTTTGTTAAGAGCAAGAGTTTATTTGCTAAAATGCCATTGATGCCGTTTCAGGGACTTGTTTTCCTTTTCTTTCTTCTAAGGTGGGTCAGGCCTTATAATGGACTGAGGTTGCTCCACAGTCTTTACTGAATAAATATTTTAAGAAAACATGCACATCTCCCATGGGGCAAAGCACAGTCAGTCATGCACATATTTCAAACCACATTATATATTACTCTTCAAAGATTGGTCATTTCTGTATGTCAAGTAGAAAATTTGCATGAGTTCTGAGTAATTCTCAACTAAATTTACAACGTAAGATTACACAGTTTCATTCCCTTGCATGATTTTCATGGACCGAGATATCAGCCAATGGTTTGCCTCATATATATTATAGTATTAATATATATTATTATATATTTATATTATATATAATATTTTCAGTGATTATTTTAAACTGGAGAGGATAGTAAGAGTAAATTGTAAAAAGGGGAAATAGTAATATGTAACTCCTAGAGTATTTGCGGAATCAAATAACACATGGAAAACAGTAAAATGCCTAGCACATACTTAGCAAGTGCTCCAAAACATTTGGCATTATTATAATTATAAATATTATCATTACTACCCCAATGGGAGAGGCACTTTATTAACATCTACTTCTAGTGTCCAGGACACCCGAACTTCTAACTCACTCCTGCGCAGGCCCTTTCCTGACACACAGCCGCACCAAGTGGCTCAGAAAGGTCTGGGGTGCAGGCTGGTTTGGAGACGAAGGTCAGTCTCCATGCCCACCTGGCATTTTTCTCCTTTCTGAAAGTCTCCAGGCTTGGTTTGCATCTTCTGAAATCCTTTCAGTAAACATTCAGTCGTGTCAAAACTCAGAAGGGGAGGAATTCTGAAATTTTCATGTTTACTTCAAATCGAGAAAAAACTGGCGCTTAAAGCAAGTCCCCATCCTCAGCAGGGCTTCTGGAATGACCTTTGAAGAGCTTGAAGCAGAGCCCAGCTCTGTAAAGGCTGCTGGGCCCAGGCCAGAGGTGAGCGGGGGAGGCTATCAGCACTAATTAATGCTTGAAAGGCTTGAAAGAAGCTGGAGAAAGTAGCAACATCCAGGCGGCCATTCAAGCTTTTATCACTTAGAGGAAAATTATAGGGAACTTAATACAGAAGAGCCCATAGCTAATATTTTTGAAATTGTTACTCAGTGTGACTTTCCAGGCTGATGGTCGTCAAGCCTTCCCACGTACGGCATTGCTCACTTCCAGGCCTGCGAACTCTCCATTAGCAGAGGCAGCCCGGGGCTGTTCTGCGGTGGAAGAAAGACGCAAAATGCAAAACCAAGCATGGATAATTGTCTGTAATAGTAAACTCTCGATGTTTGTAAGAATATGTGGCCTGCAGAGAAAAGATTCTAATAATGTTTTCAAACTTTCCCCCCCCAGAGTGTCCTCAGAATTCATTCATAGCAGGTAAACGCGATCTTTTTCTCATGAGCCGAATGCTTGTGCCTTGTGTCCTAGGACGCAGCATCAACGTCAAATCTGCTGGTCTGGTGGGGAGACACGGGCCTCAGTCAAAACAACCGTTCATGGTGGCTTTCTTCAAGGCGAGTGAGGTGCTGCTTCGATCTGTGAGAGCAGCCAGCAAACGGAAAAACCAAAACCGCAGTAAATCCAGCTCTCATCAGGACTCCTCCAGAATGGCCAGTGTCGGAGGTAAGGCCAAACCAGAGCAGAAGTTGTGCGCAGAGAGTTATGGGGTCACATGTTGCAAATCAAGTAGCCGCAATAAATTTACCCTCTGGATATACCTTTATTTGGTTTATTAAATCATCCAGCAATGTTTCTAGCATCCCCAGAATGTTTCATCGGTGAATCACTCGGTAATTCATTTTAAAATAAGTATGGCTCGCCTTGCTATGCTGAAAGATTCAGTTCAAATTAAAATCAAGCTGGCAGTAATAAAATTATGAAATGGTTACATCAACAAAGTCTGGCCAAAACTGAATTGCACAGCTTGCTGAACTGACTTCCCCAGGGCCTCTAGATATGGATGGGTAACCAGGTAAATTCAACATGAAAATATTTCTTTAGTACTTAAAACAATACATGTGAATCAGCGTAAGTTTTTTCCAACAATAGAAGCAGAAATTAAGATAATTATGATTATATTTCCATTAATTATTTGGAGGGCCATTATCTAGATAATCTGCTTTAAGCGTGTGTACACACACATGTATATATAAAATCTAACAACAAAATATTACAAACCCACAATTGATCCCAATGAGCTTGCAATTTAATCTATTGATTGATAAAAAGGAGATAAAAGTACAGTTGATCTAAACACATCTAGCTGCCAAAATCTGAAGTGATTGCATCATATTATTTATGCCAATAAGTGCCTTGTTCAGTCCAGGCTACAGACAGATTTTTATATGCTGTCCTTAGATAAAAATGATGGCTATTTTATTCCAAGAAATTATCTTTATCTATAAAAAAATTAGTCTATTTGAAGAGGAAAAGTTACACTAGAACATCTCAACCTTGTGTAACATGCTGGTTCATTTGTAAAATACGTGTTCTTTCATGCTAATGGTCACCACATGCGAGGCACAATAGATGAGCTGGCAGATAAAACAGACATAATCCTGGCATATGGTTTTTCAGCAAATTAGAATGTTTCACTCTTTCAAAAAGACACATTCAGACAGTGTTTGCCATTATTCCCGAAATCGTCATGTTTTCTCCACATCACTTGAAACTGATAAATCATATAAGAACACAGAAGTTTTATTTAGTTTTGCTTTTTGCATCTGGGCTCTCAACAAAAATACTAAGTGGAATTCGCTGGAAACGTCCTAAAGCATGGGCACCAGGCGAGTACTCTTAGAAAGAAATCTATTTGGTGATTTAGCAACAGAAGGAAGGGGGAAGATTTCTATATGGAAATACATTATACTGAATTGCATGCTATGTACGGAGGGATGCTTTTTTGTGTTTTTGTTTTCAGTCCTCACCCAAGGACATGCTTATTGATTTTGGAGAGAGAGAAAAATCAGTTGGATGCCTTCCCATAGGCACCCCAATCAAGGATTGAACCCGCAACCTAGGCATGTACCCGGACCGGGAATCCAACCCACAACCTTCGGGTGTATGGGACGACAATCCAACCAGCTGAGCAACACCAGCCAGGACTAGAGCAATGTAGAGCAATGTTTTAAAATAATTTTCCAGCAAATAAATTTAACCATCTTTTTCATTTGAAAATAAAACATGATAGTAGTGCCTTATTACCAAGCTATTTTATAAAGATCTTCACAAGATATTTAGTTTGGCAAACACTGTAATTGGTTAATATGAAAGCTGGAGAAAACTAACTTTCTAAGACCTTTCCTTCCTTGTAAATACTAGCCTGTCAAAGTTGTATATTTTTCCTTTCATGTAGAATGGCCTGAAATTGGTTGAAATGTTTTTAATTTAATGTAGCAGACTGCATTAAGAAAATAGTTTGTTAAAACTTGAACAGAATAGTAAATACTTTTTGAGAAAACTACAAAGGGAAAGGCATAAGTCGCATACTTATTACTGAGCTCATGACGACTCTGGCAGAGGCGTCCTGGAGACCGAAATCATCAAAGTCCTTTTCCCTATTGGCGAACTCTATTTATCTTCCCTTCCTGACCGCACTAACAAATGTACTTCTATAAGGAGAGATGAATAAAACATATGGAGCAGAAATCACGTAACTTTTCACCAGTTCCCTAACACCATTTGGAGTACAAAATTATTCTAATATAGACCAATATTTTCTTTTGAAAAAGTTTGTCATTGGCAACCATTTCTGTGAAATATGCGGTAGATGGTTTTGGAGCGAGTTCATATTTTGATAATGAAAAGGAAGAAAGTAGCTGGTGTGTGTCTCTGAGACTTAACCTTTCAATAGGTAGTAATCAAGCAGACGGGAAAAAGTCTCATAGAATTTGGCCTAAAAGACAGGGCTTTAAGGAAAGGGAATGCTAATATAAACATAAAATTTGATACTTAGGAGGCTTGAAATGCCAGCGAAAATTTAAAATCATCCAAATATAAATAATAAATGTTGTAGTAGTACTAGGCTTTTACAGTAAAATACTGTGTGAAGACTCCATGGCTAAGAAAGGAGGGAGGAGTGTTTTAGTAGATGTTTGTCTGATTGCTTTTTTTTTTTTAAATCAAATCATCAAAGGTTGAAAGTCTCAGTTAGTGCAGGAGAATTAAAACCCAGGTTATCCTTGGTGTCTTTACCTCATTTCTTTTCTATTTAAAAGATCCTTGCCTTCTGAGTTCTTAATACCCCTTTATCTTTCCATTCTCCTTTGGGAGAGCTGAGGACCTTGTCTAGCATAAAAGGGGAGCCACCAAAATGCTTGTTATTCAATGTGTCAACTGTATGGGAAAAACGAACCTCATTCAGGTGGAAATACACTGAACCACAGCTCCCAGGCTTTCTACAGAAACTGTCCCTCTTTGCTCCTCTTCAGCCTTTTGGCAAAATGGTTGAGCAGATATGTTGTGGGAGAAGTTGCCTTTTTCATGAGGCTGTACGGTGGCTGTTTATTTCAATTTGGGTTTGAGGAGAAGAAAATGGAGGCAATAGCTAAATTTTAGGTTAGCCACTCTTTAAGATATAATGGCACTGGGTCGATAAACATTTTAAAGAATCTACTGAGAGCAAGGTGCTGTCCTATATCAGTGTCGACAAAAATAAAGCATTAAGAATCTGGAAAAACTGAAAGGGCAAATGGCAAGTCCTGGTTCACTGCAGAACTGCTTGGAAAGATTACTTATTGTGTGCTTCCTACTAGAGATCTTTGAGGGCAAATCCAGTCATTGGTGGACCTGCCTGAAACAATGGCGATTTCTTAGGACAAATCTTTCAAAAAGTCATTATAACAAAAGTATTGTGCACTTATTCTCAGTTCCAATACGCATCATCTCTTGCCTAATGGATACAGTGTAAAGGAATGCCTCTTGGACAAACATACAGGGTGTCCCAAAAAATGTATACACACTTTGAACAATTATTAATTCCAATGGGTTAAATCTGAGAAGAAAGAAACATCAATTGAGCTATCAAAAAAATGTATATGTATACAGTTTGGGGGGGTTACCCTATGTTAATCAAAACCAGAAAGAACAATTAATTGGCATTAATTGTTTAAAAAGTTTATATTATTCAATTAATGTACATTTTCATTATTTAAAAGTAAGTCATAAATAAGGCTAAAATTTTCCTTTTAAAAAAAAAATATATAGTTTTATTGATTTCAAAGAAAGGAAGGGGGGGAGAGAGATAGAAACATCAATGATGAGTCATTGATCAGCTGCCTCCTGCACACCCCCTGTTGAGGATCGAGCCTGAAACCCAGGCATGTGCCCTGACCTGGAATCGAACTGCGATCTCCTGGATCATAGATCGATGCTCAACTGCTGAGCTACACTGGCTGGGCTAAAATTCTCCTATGATCAATTAACATTTTTGAGATGGGTCACCCTGATACAGATGTCAGCAGGGTGTACTTATACTTCCAAACCTTTTCTTCCGCATATAGTCTCTTGGAGAATATATTTTTGTTATATCTTTTAAACTACACAATTGATATATTTTATGTATTTTTAAAGACTATTTTCAGAGCAGTTTTAGGTTCACAACAAAATTGAGAGGAAGGTACAGATTTCCCATGTACTCCTTTTTCCCACTCACGCATAACCTCTCCCATCATCATCACTCACCATTCTGGTACACTTGTTACCAAAGATGAACCCACATTGATACGTCATAATCACCTAAAGTCTATAGTTTATCTTAGGGTTCACTCCTGGTGTTGTACTTTCTATAGTTTTGGACAAATGTATAATGATGCATATCCATTGTTATTATATAGAGTATTTTCACTGCCCTAAGAACCTTGTGTCCTCTATCGATTCAACCCTCCCTCCCCCCTGCAATGACCAATCTTCTTATTTCCCCATAGTTTTGCCTTTTTCAGAATGCTATATAGTTGATTTTATCTATTTTTTTAAACAATATGTCTCCACCATCTTTCAAATTGGTGACCTCATTCTTGGTGACCTCTGCTGCAATATATTTAATAGTGCTTGTTTCACAGTTTATTTAATCATATCACTCTTAAAAGGCATTTGGTTGTTTCTAAATAGGGGCTCTCATAATCAGTGTTGCAATGAAAATCCTGCAAGGCTGCACATAAAATAATGTTTTTAATCCCCATGATTCCTACAGCAATTAACACTAAAAGCTGATTATCTTTGCAAAATTTTGGAAATCCCTCCCAAAACAACGATTATTTTGGTGCATATAATATCTAGCTCACTCTATATACCTAGCTACCTATCCATACTCTTATCTATCTATTATCTATATATCATTGTATCATTTAATCCTGGGTCCACTACTTACTAGTTGTATAATTGTAAACAATATATGTCACCTCTCTCTGCCTCTGTTTCTTCATAGATAAATTGAGAATATTAATAGTACCTGCCCCATCAGGTAAGATTACATGGGTTGTGAGGATTAAATGAGTTAATATGTATAAACTCATGCAATATGAGGACCATGGTACATACTTACTATAGTGTTAGTCATTATCATTGTTACATATGGTTTTGTTTTTCAGAACTGGTACTGAAAGAATTCAGGCTCTTACATCAGA